TTTGGGTCACACCCAGCGATGCACAGGGGTTACTTCTGGCTTTGCACTCAGGAATTACTCCTCTTGGTGCTGGGGGGGATCATATGGGATGCTGGGGAATTGAACCTGTGTCAGATGCATGCAAGGCAAATGCCCTACCCACTGTACTATCGCTCCAGCCCTAGTCTGGTTATTTAAAGCAGGCGCACAGTTCTTCTGACATGACCACAAGTCTATTTGGTACAGAATTCATGTACAGACTACAATAGATTTTTTTTCAATGCGGGCCCTTAATGAAAAAGCATTTTGTAGGAAAAGTAATCGAAAGGAGAAGAAACAAGAAACCTCATTTTCATAGCCTGATATTCCTTCTTCTAGGATTCTTCAATTATTTTGAAAGTAGCAAAGAAACATTAAAGACATACAGGAGTGAGAGATTAATCTAGTCGCAGTCTATTCTGAAAGTCTACATTTTCTAACAGTGTAGCACTGTAGCTTCAGCCCTCTAACAGTGTACCCACTAAAAAATCTTTCTCTTCTTGCTCAATTTTCCTTAAAACTAAAGGATAGTAAGTACCTAAAGGCATGAAGAAAAAAAAGCTTCACGTAAGCTTTCACTTTCACACTTTGGAGTTAGATAACATGCAGTGCTTTGTAACTTGCAGCCTTAGCTGAATAGATGGGTGTGAGAAAGAAAATGTATTTTGTATGGATGTCCAAACTTTACAGGACTCCTTGTACTACACTTGTAAATTTACAAGTGATCCCACTCCTGTTATGTCTCAAAACTGTTCATGAATCACAATGCTTACAGAATAAACTATTTGATACTCTTTAGGCTTTCAAAGTCTGCTTTTAGTCTAAGAACACCTTATAATACTTCAAAAGGTTGTCACACCTTTAATTAGGACTATAAATCAGGAAAACTATTTAAATTTTAATCATGTTTTTTCTCTTTTGAAACTTCCTCTGATTTCTTGATATGTTTATATTATCTGTTAAATTGTCCCATACCAAACCCACTATCTTGCTATGTCCCAGCATCCGACAAATTGTATGATAATAGCATTGCTCTTTCTCATAGTTAATATTCTTGAAAGTCATTGTGGCAACCAAGCTGACAAGCTCAAAAATTTTCTAAAAACCATCTTTCCTGGTAGAAGAATCATAATCTGTCTTCATATGCAACTTCTATATATTGTTCTTATTCTTTTAGTGTCACTGTACAATAGGCATAACCTTTAATCAAACAGCATTTAAAATACCTGAAACAGTGTCATCATAAGGATTGTGTAATAACTAGAAGTTTAGGGACAGTATGCTCTTTGATTTTTCCAGATAATCTAATCAAATAAAGAGTACAACATTTTCCACTATAATGATCTCTCAAACATATCTGTTCTCTGGTCATATGGTAACTCTGACAAAAAAGATGGAAAGCACAGATGTTTCTACTCACTCAGTGCCCTTGGATCGAATGTACAAACTGTTATACAGGCAAGCATTGCTATAGCAGTGAAAAATAACAAACACAAAAAATGGTGGTATGGCAAAACTATTAATTACCTTGACACCTTGGAATGCATGTAAAATTAAAATAATATTTCACCAGAATACTACTATAAATTAAAAGAAAGAAAGAGTCCTTGGCAGGAAAAAAATGTGACATTTATTTTTTAGCTTTATTTATTTATCAAATTATTTATCAAATTTATTTTTTAGTTCTAATGCACAAGTGAAATGCATTAGAATGTACAAAATAATGAATTTGTACTAATATCAAAATTTTACTGAGGTCCTTTAATGAGCTTAGACAGTATAGAGAATCATTCAGTTCGTTGTTGAATATAATTTTCTCCCTTTGCTAGGGACTCTAGACTGTGAGGCATTCAGCACTACCCAGGCCTACATGCAGCACCAGGGGTTAAAACCCAGATGCCCTGGCTGCTTCCTACATCCTTTCTTGCTGGAGACTCCTAGTAGATTTGTCAGAATGGCCTCAGCAAATGAGTGCAACACCTTGAGCCATTGAGCCATCTTCTGGGCCCCCTCACATATTTTAATTGTGGCAAATTTTAACTGTGGTAAATGGTTTCATGAGTCTAAATATTTACAATAATTAAATATTAAGAGACACATAACAAATCTACATCAGGTAGGTGAGCACCATTCAAAAAGAACAAGCATTTGGTATAAAAAAAAACCCAGCAGCTTCTTGATCCTTCCTTCCTTTCCTCTATATCTCCTTTACTCCTTTCTTTCTCTTTTTTTCTTCACAAAATCCAACAGTTTTTCACTGACTCTTAAGCCAGAATCTTTTTGCTTCACTGAACTGTCTCAAGTCCTGAGAGTATGCTGAGTTACTTATTCTATCTGTAAGGCAGTTCAGTGCTTTGAAAGCAAATCAGAATGACACAGTCCTTAGGAGATTCGAGATAAAACACTGCATCCAAAGGACAGGGACTATCAGAACTGATAGCTGCGACCACCATACCCATCCCCAGCTAAACTGTGTATGCCTAAGGGTGGGTGTAGGAGGGAGGAAGTTTTACAAATGCAAAATGGTTTGCTTTTGGTCTACAGTTTTACTTTCTTTTCTAAACCTCTTGGCGTTCAGTGTTCCCTAGCAACAGAAGCAAAGGATCATTTTAGATAAGTGCTTTCCAGAGCATTGCTATCTAGCTACTGTCCAAGCCATTTTAGTTTACAAGATCAAACAATTGAAATTCAGGGAAATTTATCATCGACCATCCTTGGCAGCAAAATTCGAAGAGTACTACTTGATATGTATGCTTCTTATGTCTGAGATGACGGATTCTACCTCTACTGCACAAGCATGGATTGGTTTCAGTAAGAATTAGTAGTCTCTACATCTCACCGTGAAACCACAGTGTTGCTAGGGAAACTGATAATTATGTGGCAAAATGGAGGGTGTAGAATAGAAAAAGAGTTCAGAAGAAATGTAAGGTTTTGATCCCAAACTGCATGTTAATAGTACAATTTTTTGATCATCTGTAGTCATATAACTTAAAAAATACTACTAATTACATCTTTGACAAGATACAGATTTCAAAACTAAAAGAAATGAAATGAATTAGACTCTGAAAAGGTACTGGTTATTGACCATACTTAATACATGCCACAGCAGGAACATGTATTTACTATAAATTACAATTTAAAAAAATTGGAACATTCAAAAAGTTAAAAAAATAAAGACGCTGATTTCACTTCTGACATTTTTCTTTGGAAATAGGTCTTTTTTTTTAATCTTAAAGATTGTCTGCTATAAAGTGACACCTTTTCCAACTCTTGTACAAAGTAATATTAACCTAAAAAGTCCTTTTACAAAGAAAGTAATACTGTTTTTATAATTTACATGATAAAGTCGACCCAAAGAAACTGAATGACCTTCTGCTACACAGTTCTTTGGTTAGTGGTACTGCCAGTGCTAAATACTACACTAAAGTTGCCTCTGTAAAGCATCATTTACAGATCATATCAAGATAAAATTCAGCAAAAGGATATAAGCTTTGTAAATGAAATCAAATCTCTAGACATTGCTTTAATTTTAAAAATGCAGATTTCTAATACTTTTCAATTTTAATGGCTAAGAGTTTAGTTCTAAAAGTTAATGACATAAGCACTTGTTTATCAGGAAAATCTCACTGGAGATATTTTAATATGTGAGAAACACCATTAAAGAATTATATAGTTCATTAGTGAACAGAGTTTACCACATGTCAAATCTTTGCTTATGCATTGTCAGCCTATTATGATGATCCTGCTGCACAACGTCCTTTTATTCTCCCATTCCAAGGTCTACATGATTGATATTTTAAAAGATGAAACCCAAGTTTAACAATCTCTCTTTTTATTTGTAAATTTGTGGAGTTTATAAATATACTATATATATAGTGAATAGTCACTGTCACATACACAGAATCTATGTATGAGTGTGTGTGCATGAAAATAAGAGCTGTATGCTGATTATACACGATCATAACAATAGAAAATGTTTCCAATATTTTAGTCTTATTTGGTCTCTCATAGGAAGGAATGAAGATGCAGAAGATGACAACTAAGGTCAAAAGATAAAACTGTAAAGAAGCTTTATTTTTTCACTTGTTTTTTGGGTGCTCAGGGATTACTCCTGACTCTGTGTATGGAGATCATCCTTGGAGAGTCTAGGGTACCATGTGTGGTGCAGAGGATTGAACCCACTTTAGTTGTGTGTACAAGAGAAGAGTCCCATGCACTGTAGTATTTCTCTGGTCCCTGTACAGAAAATTAAATTTCAGTGAATTCCAAGTATTGGAAGCAAGTACTTGGACTTTTGATATTATGAAAAGATTTTTATTCCAAGAATTACAAATTTCAGCTTTATTCATTAATATAGAAACAATATAGATTACCCCAGAGTAGTTAAGTTTATATAATTTTAAGGCAGTTTATTAACTATATCAATAATTATCAATTTTATTTTTCCTCTAAAAATTTTTTCTGTTCTGGAAACTGAACTCAGGGACTCACATATGCCAGGTCCTGCTCTGCCACTGAGCCACAGCACATGCCCTAGAAATTATAATAATTTTAAAAGGATATTTATCTTGATTCAAGTTAATATTTCATTATTTACAGCAAAGGACTTATTTTTGATAAGATAAGAAGAGCTAAGTGATAAATTCCATTTTATAAGCTTTTTCTTTTTTAACTTGGAAGGGACAGTTAAACCTTTAGATAAGAAAAACATTTAAATATTTGGATAAGAAGAAAGAGTTACTGAGGCTGATGAGATAGTACAGAGGGCAGGGTTCTTGCCTTACACATATTGAATCCTAGTTTGATTCCTGGGACCACATGTTGCCCCCGGCACCATATGTGGTCAATGTGTACAGAGCCAGGAAAAAGTAAGTCCTATGTACAGTAGTCCTTTTTTTAGATGTTGAAGGTGTGATTGAACAACTTAAATTAAAATAACTATATAAGTCATAAAAAACATTTTTTGTAGGTATTACACAAACCTTGACTTAGGCCATCTTGACAAGATGTTTGTTTGACGTCCAAATTCTCCATGGTATCTCCTTTAGAGACGTCACCAAGGGATGTTCTTCTCTCAAAGATGTTGTTGTTATTGTTAACTTGAGTCCCATTTTGTTTCAATAGCCTGAAGACCTCAGCTTCCAAATCTCTAATCTAAGAAAAAAATTTTTATTTATGAAACTCTAAACCAGATCTCTTCCCCAAGTACTGAACAAATTATTTTTACTGGCTTTGAGTGCACAACTCACCCGCACTTGCAGGCCTTGAACTTCTACAACATGAGCTTTTTCCAAATCTTCTATTTTCTTTCTTTCTGCTTCCTGTCTTTTGATGAAATCAAGTTCTCTTAAGAAAAAAATAAGAAAAAATCTTATCAAATCAAACATACAATAAATAGGAAAACACGAAAATTCTTATCTGAAAGTCTAAACTGTACAGCAGAATAAATAACTGGAAAGCTATTTAAATGAATAAAAGTAATAGAGAAAATATATAAAATAATAAAAACAAATAAAACATATGCATGAGTTACATAGTTAAAAAGAGGCTTTGAATCTGCTTTTATTATTTGCACTTGTAAGTCCTGATTCTAGAGAATCCATAAACACTTACTGCACAAATAACTCCCCAATTACTGAATGGTATTACTGCCAGGGTAGTTATATATAATTCCGCATCTGCCATGTTCTATACTTCAGTAATTGATACAACTAGTGGTAATTTTTTTAAAGGAAAGATATTTATAATAGTTAAAATGATGAGTTAAAATCATGAAGTACTGAATTCACTGTCACAAAGCAACTTTTCTCCTTCTATAATAAATCTTATTGTAATCTCCTTTAAATATCAAAGATTTTTTTCCAACAAAAACATGGTGTATCTTATGTATATGCCTGTTTTTTTGGCTATCTTAGCAGACTTTTAGAAAAGGTACTGGCTTTCCTTATTATTGTTCTAGCTAATCAAGTTATCGATTACAAAGAAATCCAAGGAAACGCTTCCAGATCCAAACTACAATGCCCATACTTAAAAGTGTACCTGTCAAGGAGGCAGTTTGGGAGCGGGAAGTAAATGGGATAGTAGAAGAGAGAAGTTGATACTGATGATGAGATTGATGCTGGAACATTGTACACCTGAAATGAACTATGACTAATTTATAAAGCATAGTGCCTTAATAAATTAAAAAAAATCTTCCAGATCAGATTCCCTGAAATTACATTAAGATTCAACAGATGGAAGCAAACAGCAGCAATAGTTAAGAAAGACCTATTAAAATTCAAAAGCAAAAAAAAAAATTCAAAAGCAGAGTATTGTAACAGTGAACTGAGACCCCAGAGATTCTCTCAATAGCTGAGAAATGCAAAGAAGCAGGGCAGGAAGTCTTGCTAGTCAATATTTACACTCTCTGTAGTGAGAAAATTCTATATGTACTGATTCTAGGAGTAAAGGGAGAAGCAACTGCATCAAGACCTCACATGCTATCTTGCATGGACCTTGCCCCAAAGTCATTCTATGTGACCTCACCTGGGGCTTCAATGGTTCTAAACTAAAGAGCTACTTCAAAATGGACATAAATTAAAATGTCTGGGGAATGAATAATGGACAGGGTGTTTGCTTGCATGCAGCTGACCCTGGATTGATCTCTGGTACGAAAAGTGGTACGTTATTCTCCACCAGGAGTGATCCTTGAACACAGAGACAGGAGTAAACTCTGAGCACAGTCAGGAAGGGTCATCCGCACAAAAAAAAAAAAAAAAGGAATTTTAAATGTTTTAATATTTACTGTAAATTAAGTCATTTTCATAATTATTTTTAATTTTATAAAACTGAATCACTATGAATGATAGAATTACAAAGTTTTTCATAATTGAGTTTTCAGGTGTACATGTTCTAATACAAATTCATTCAGTAGTATCCACTTCCCTTCATTGATGTCCCTGGTTTTATATTATGAAGGAGCATATAAAAAGTTGAGAGGAAATATTGCCAAAAACCCTATAAACAAGGATATAATCTCAGATGAAACATGATATAATTTCCAAAACATAATGCTGTTTATGCTTTAACTATATTTCTTAGAGGAAGAACTCTGATATTACAAAATTATTAAATATGAACCTGTTGACACATACAACTATTCTTTAGGCTAGAAGTTTCTTACTTTTGTTGGAAATCCTTGATCAGTTTCTTTGCCTTATTGTATTTCTTTTCCAAGGCTTGATATTGGCTTTGGGTATCTTTGAGGTGTTCATTCACTGTATGACATAATGTTTGAGCCTCAATCCAGTAGCTCTCTAATTTCAACATTCTTTCTTTATTCTCTTCTATGTTCTGTTGAAGTTGTGTTTTCTCTAATTCCCACCGCACTTTTTCATTTTCTGCTGCTTGCAGCTAGAGAAAGCAAATATCAAGACAAAGATAAGAGGGTACATTTCCAGAAAAAAAATCTCACCAGTATATATATATTTATTACATTTTTAAAAATTTTATTCCATTGTTACATATCCATAATTATAAGAACATCTTGAGAATAATGGAAAAGTATTATTACAAATCATGAAATGGAAGCCTTGAAAAGTTAAATGATTTGTTCAGGTTCACACATCTGATAAATAATTAGACATGGATTTGATTTCAACTCCCATGAACTTTTTGTCAAATCATGGAAATTCTGTAAGCACTAAAAATTGTCTGGAGTTTGATTTATTCTATCTAATGACCTTAAATACATTCTCTTACAGAGTTTTTATTTTCCTGTGCAGTTATATATTAAAAAAATTATAAAGGGAGTGAGGAGTCAAAGGAAGGAAAGGAGAGAGGGTCTGAAACACAGCATGACAGAATGATTTAAGAGGGGTGCTTTGGAGTCATTCAGCTGGACTGGAATGTTCCAATTCTGCTGCTATGAGTCTTTGGGCAAATTACTTAAATTCCTTTTGTACTTAATTATATCAGAATTATGATATAACTCATCAGAACTCATGATAAAGCTCCTTAAACATAATAACGTGAGAAACATTAGCTTATTTTATATTGTTCATATCCTTAAGATACTATTTTATTATTCAAATTATAAATTTCTAGAGCTGTATAATCTCAATGCCCATAAATATAAAAATACAGTTTAATAAAAAGTAAGTTATTGCTGAATTTCTTTAAATTACTCCAATAGAACATAAAGGCAGCTTTTTATGTGTTTTTACTTCCAAGGATTCTTAGGAAAAAACACTATAAAAAGTCCAGTCTCTTCATTTCTACAGAACTTCAAGGGTAATCTTTATGTGAGATCAAAGGCCACTTACAATTAGTGTGTGACCTTAAATCTAGTTTTTCATCTATTTCATAAACCTCCTTTAAAGTTCAAGGGGATGAAGAGTCATTATAAACATCAATTTTCAAAATAATACTCCAAAATCTTACAGCATATCACAAAGTGTAATATTTGTGTATTTTAGATTAAAAATTTGGCAAAGTGGATTACAAAGAAAAAAAGTGTCAAAAACATATCAAAACATAATTCTATTATCAACATAGAAAATAAATAGCCAGAATAAAGTATGTTGATATTATACATAAATATAATGTGAAAAATACTAATTTAGAGAAGTTTTGAAATTGTTTACCATGTAACATTTATATTTTATTAAAGTGCAATTATAGAGAATATTTTTCCCTGATCGTAACCAATCATTTAAAACAACTTCTATTCTTCTATGTTAAGAAACAATAGCAATTTAAGAATGACAACATTTTTACTGCATATTTTATTAAATAATCTTTTGTATTCAAGCTGTTTATTTGCTAACCACTACTGATTTTAAAAATATTATTCACAGGACTGGGCTGACACCATGAATGATGTATAGAGATGTTTTGACTAAAGAGTTGCAGAGTTATTAGCTGAGAATATCATTTAACAAAAATAGCCTCAATAATTCGTCTCATTTAAAACACATGTAAAAGCCAAAACAAGTGTTTAATGTGAACAAGAAAGCAGATCATTAGAGGTAGGAGAAGAATTATTTCTAAATTTTTAAAGGCCATTAAATAATGAAGAACACTGTCATAAAAGTATTTCAAATAATATTTTTCAGTCTTCAGAATTACATATTTAAAAAATAAAATTAAGTTTAAGAATTTACAAGTACATTAAAATTTATCAGTTTAGAATAACCTTCTCAAGCTTGCACTATTTCATGCGTAGACTAAAATGACATGCTTTTTTTTTATCAGCACCTGTTTTTTTTTTTTCCTACAAATTGAAATGTGATCTATGCTTGCCTAAAAATCTCCGGTTATTCTGGCACCTAAAATCAATTATGCATATTTTGAAAGAGCTATTCATTAAAAATTAAAGTTTTCTATCAAAAATAATGTGACCTATAATATATTTCTGATGGCTAAGTTCAATGATTAAGCCGATTTAAAATAGAGTAAAGAAAGGGAAAGAGCCTGTTCATACAGAATTAATGATCAAGATGTTAATTTGGATGTCAGAAACATAAACAATATTTACTTTGTGAGGAAAGCTCATAGAGAATTGGTCATATATGTATAGATAAACATTGTCCATTTGTGAAAAACTGCTGGTTTCACTGAAAGTTACTGTAATATTTACCATCTAGGGTTTTGTGCTCTTTCTGGCAGGAATATCAAACAATTAAAATGAATGTCACACAGGTTATTATTCATTCAAATGCAACGAAAACAAATCTTTCAGTGAGTTCTACGGTCTCACTAAGATCTTCAGCTGATGCTATTCATAGGACCTGGAGTTTGAAACATGTAATTCAAACACCATATATTTGCGCTTACCTTGGTCTTCAATTTTTGAATCTCTGCTTCTGTAACTGCATGTTTGATTTGCAACTAAAAATTGAAAAGAAAAAATGTGAAATAAGAAGTGAATCTATAAGCCTCAGATGCTAAAAAAAATCAGTACATAGCTGACATAGAAAAGTGCTGCAATGCAGCAGGTTGTAAATTAAGATGTCTAGTGTGTAAAAGGATGTGCTAGGTGCAAACTAATTAAACACAAGGTTTATGGCCACACTCCCAAATATGAGATTAGGTTACAAATTTAATTGCTCAGGGACAAAAAAGGAGAAAACATTTGTTCGCATCTTCACAGCAGCTCTTTTTGATTTAAGTGTCAAGAAATTGTTCCCTTGCAGTCTTGTGGAGTAAACTAGCTAGACAACAGCTGTGTGCAGATTCTATTCCAAGTCTGAAAGAAAGGTGGTGCTGTGGTTCCACAATTCACAGCACATCCGGTTAAGCAGACCTTTTACAGCTCCGGCTGTTGCAATAGGGAAAATGATACTGTCTGAAATCTTTTTATTTTATTTTGTTTTTAATTGTAGGAGATATACAGATCTTGATTTGTGCCTCCTAGAAGATCCACTCCAATTCTAAACCAGCCTCCATTCACCAAAGGTTCAGTTTGTTTATTATTCTAGAAACGCTGTCACTTACATTTGTTTTGCTTTTACCCTGCCCCCACTTTGTTTTCTTCTTAAGGGAGGAATGAACCAAATACTCACTTCCTTAAGAGATGAATAAAATATCCAGATTTCAGGAAAATATATATGGTTGACAGTGTTGTCTCTAAAATTCTTGGGGGTTGATGTTTTTGGAATTCAGAATTCTTCCATTCAGAAGTATAGTAAGATGAATTTTCCATAAATTGGATATTACCCACAAGTGGGACTGTGAAACCATTCAGCATGTAATCAAACTCACCAATATTTATGCCACCAAACAGGAATATTTCCACTAAGTGAGAATATAAACATTGTAAGTAGCATTTTGAATCTGATTTATCACCAAATAGATTGACCACCCAAAAACATTCAGCAAAATTGTTTTCAGAGCATTTTGGATTTTAAGATTATACATGGGAGACTGAACATCTAATTAAATAAATCTAAGGTTTTTTTAGAAGGAAGTGATTTAGCTGATGGAAGGATAGAAACATGCGGTTTCCAGACTTGCAATATGACCCTGTGGCTATCACAATACCTTACAGCCCTCATTTTTAATCATCTGGCTAGTAGGGGAATATGGGAGGCATGAAAAGAGAAAACAGAAATCAAAGAATCAAGGACAGGTTAATTCAACAGTCTCTTAGATGTCATTGCAAATGAATGAAAGCCCATAACCAGAACTCCTAAGCTCCCTGCAAAATGAATTTCCTTGATGTTTTCAGGTTTCCCTGTTAGGAATAAAATCCTGTTGCTGGCAAAGCAACAACTCTGATACTGACTGCTCTTTGTCTTTAGGAGTAAATTAGAAACTGTTGAATTTTTTCCCCAATACATTTATATTGATACTTACTCGTGAAGAATATATAGCAAATGTTTGACAAATGAATGCATGAGTACATGATAAGTGGATATATCATAAACAGGTTACAAGTGATAAATAATTAACATATAAAATACCAATGATTTCAAAATTATTTTCAATTAAGGTATAATGAATTATAATAGTATCAGTATTAATGTTTTAGGCATACAATGTTTACTACACCATAACAATAACCAGAGTACCAACGTCCTCCCACCACTATCCCACTATCCCCAGATCTTTCTGCCAGTCCCATCTAGAAATTTGTCTTATTCTTTTGCTTTCTGATCTGCAGCTATGTCCCTGTGCTCTAGCAACTTTCAAGCATCAGTGGCACTGGCTTTTGCATTCTAACAGACTCTAGAGAGAAAACACCCTCTCTTTAGTTCTTATTTTTCTACAAAGGTCAAACAGACAGTATGTGCCTTCCCATTTTCTTACTATAGTGCTACTTGCTTTGGTGTACCTGGAAAGTGCTAAACCAAATTCACAGTAACTTCCTTCTACCTCCCAGAGAGATCTGATAACACACAGAACTTGAATCCAGAGTTATCTTTTAGAATCTGTCAATTACAGGCAAGTCAAAATGAGATTCAGCAAGTAGGTATCATCAGGTGGTATCCACAGAGAGTTCACAACTTCAGAATCATGGAAGCTTATACTTCTGGACCAGGTTTAGATATGAAAAACCCATGTTTATGCAGGATGAACACAGAAGTGGTCTAGCTCTCTAAGAGAATCAAAAACCAGAACCAGCAGCTGGATCCTTTGGTTCCTGATCCAGTGTCACTTTCCTCAGAAAATAAGGATTAGCAAAATGGGCATCTATCAAAGAGTTAGTATGTGCAAATCACAGTAATGGCAACTTTTCCAATCAATATCATCCCTAATATCCCCAATCAACATAAAGTTATAAACTAAACTGGGAAGAGTCCTTAGAAGTTAGGCAGGACATACCATTTACATATATAAATACAAAGACACATATGGCTGAAAAAAGTGATCCACCATTGAGCTCCTGTACTTCAGTGTGAGAATAGAACAGGACCACCAGCAAGCCCATGGACATAGGTGATTTGATTTTAGAAAGTTCTATAAGAAATGAATCCTGTCCTTTATGACATATGCCAATTGCGAAGAAAAGTTTAAGTTAGTTACTGAATTTATCTCAAACCCAATAAGCATTAACTATGTCATACCAGAAAGTTAACAAGCTCTTTTTTTTTCAGTTTTACTTCCATTCTATTTGTAAAACATAGTTCTTCACAAGTCATAACTTTTCTTATTGAGTGGATAAATGAGACAATTAATGCAAGGGTTTATTTGGGGGAAAGACACTGTGGTTAATATCAAATAATGCCACAATAAAGTTAGCTAGGACTATGGCAGAATGATCTGGAAAAAACCTAGAAAATTTTGCCTAAAGATTGTTTTTTTCCTTGTAATATATATACTAGATTAATTTCCTGGTAATGTGTATAAAACGGATAGATCTAAAAATATCCCTAGTTGATATTACACACTCTTCCCATATATGAAAATGTATTATCAGTGAGGAACTGTACTCACTAGCAGCGAAATCATGATACTGATAAAATCTTGAACTGTTAAAAATTTGGTAAAATTCTATACTGTAATAGAATAAATTGTATAAATTTGGTAATTCCAACAGACAAGTTTTAGTGCAAGGTTTTTTAAAAACTAATAAAGCCCAAAATTATATATGTGAGATTATTTTATTCCTGTATGCATACTAGGAGAATTTCTATAAATCAATCACTATTAACAGAAAAATCATCCAAACTAAACTTGGTGCTGCCAGGGATGTAGCTCAGTGGCAAAGGGCTTGCCTTGCCTGTGTGAAGTCCTAGTTAGATCCTTGGAACAGCAAACAAACAGAAACTAATCCAACGCTTTCATTATATACAGGCAGAAACTGTGTCAGCAGCTTAAGCTTCAGAACTAATAAGTGTCAAGCCCAGCCATTATAAATTTCAGTACACAGTTTTCCCCACTAAAGTTCTTATATTTGTAGGAAACTGTACCTATTTTATCATCTTCCTTTAGTGTTGCAGGTAAGTTTGTGAAAAGCAAAAAAGGCAGTTTAACATCACTTTACAGATGAGAAAAGACTCGAGAAACCACACAGCTTTATCAAATTTCTACTTGAAGCAGGTGGTGGACGGAAATAATTTTAGATTTGCTTCTTATGACCCATTTTTCCCTTAACCATATTCCTAATTGAAATCAGCAGCTTTGAGACATGTTTCTCATTTAATCGTCACAAAAACCAAGGCATATGCCATCATTATCACCTCCAAGATAAGAAATTATTACTCCAGCTGGAAGCCATGGATCACTTCTAGTAGTCTTTGATATTCTGACATGAAAAGTAAAATGCCATGTAACCAGTGCTGTTATTAATGAAACTTAGAAAGAACATTACCTCTTTATTCAAAGAGTTTTTACTGAACTCAACTATGTGCCAAGAGATGTGGTAGCAATCACTTATAAGGTGAGAACATGGCATTGTATCTACCCTCAAAACACTATGAAAGGAACTTGGGAGATATACAGGAGTTAGGGAAATGCCTTATAGATTCTGAACTCTAGTTTAGTCCCTGATAATGCATGCCTTCTGACCACCAACCACTAAAAATGTTGACCCCCAAACACCACCAGTGTTTGATCCTAGTGGCCCCTACCACCAAAGGGCCCTGGCATGGAATCACTGAGAGTTGCTAGGAATGGCCCCAGGTCACCTTATGCATCTCAGAAGCCCCTTCCTCCTAACCCCCCAGACTATGAGATCAATAAATAATATTTTCTAACAGAAGTTCCCAGATAATTAAGAGAAACATCAGATGGAATATGTATCTATATTGACTGATGAGTCTTTTATTTTGATAATCATGTCAGACGTCCTTAGGCTTTGAACTATATATATCATAACTAAGCTCCAAGGGAGAACTCTGTGTCCTGGTCAAAATGAACACAATTGTCCTGAGCTATGCTATTTTAGGAGAATAAAAATGCTCTTCCAAACAGGCAAAATGACATGACATAAGTAGCAAGGTTGCTAGTAATCTGAGTTTGTAAATTCTAGAGAAGTCCTTTCACATGTTTAATAATCTTTCCAATGTACGAGTTAAAGTGTTTATGCTTCACCCTGAGACTGGTCAGATGACACATTATCAGGAGAGGAGGTCAACAGGTCTGGTTAGTGGAAACAAAACTTAAAATACCTATTGGAACATTCAACGTTCAGAAAATCTACATTTGAAGAAAAAATTTGGAATGGAAAATAATTAAAGGGAAGTGAGGGGGAGAAGAGGCTTATGGGAAGTACCGGGAGCCAACGGTCAGGGGTTTTGGGCATATCAGTGTGTAGAGTTGCGTAGTATATCTATATATCTAAACCACAGATCTAAGGACACTGAAAGAAAGAGTTCCAAATTACAGCAACCAAACATCAAACTTAAAAATGTGCCCATCAAGGAGGCAGGCTGGTTTTTGGGAAGGAAGCTGGGGACACTGTTAGAGAGAAGTTGATACCGGTGATGAGATTTGTGCTGGAACACTGTATGGCTGAAACTCAATTATAAATAACTTTATAAGTCATGGTGACATTATAAAAAACTTTTAAAAAAAGATTAAATACAAGGCCAAGGATTGCAAGACATTGTCTTAATATAAGAAACAAAACACTTTCATCCTGTCATTTATAAGAAATGGCATTAATATCATCTCAGAATTATAGAACAAATAAACATCTGGATTCATACAGAAAACATTCATAAAACATCCTGCATATGTGCCTGTGGGTTTATTTTCTTTCAAAACTTTGAATATAGCAAACGAACCATATCAATAAATTAGTACAATTCAGTGGTGCTAGGAATTAAATTCAGGTTAGCTGTGTGCAAGGTAAGTGTATGAACCACTCTGGCCCTATGTTTAAATAATGCATATAAATATTTTATAGCTTTTTTATATGTTGAAGGAAATTTCCAAAAAGATAAATATTATCAACAGATTTCTAATTCTTTAGATCTTTTACTTTGGAAGATGTATACTAAAAAATATTTGAACTAATACATCCCCAAGACAAATTGTTAATTGTTTTGACTGGTTTAATATTCACGATGCCAGGGGATGAGGGGACGAGTGATGGGTGGGAACACAGGTCAGTCTACTTAAATGGTACCAGCAGTTTTCTGATTCAGCACCTTTCCTACTTCCTGCTCAATTAGCAGTGAAACCACATTTAGAAAAGAAAAACTCATAACCAAATGGGCATGAAAATTTTAATTACTGCAACTAGAATATGAAAAAGTCATAATGTTGAAAGAAGAAATATCTAAGCTTCATTCCCTAAGAAGGGAGATGTTTTGTGTCCCCACTGGACTGAGTCCTGAGTCTATCTTCAAGGAGTCCTGTCTTTCCCAGGACAGTCCACAAATCATATTCTCTTCACTCTCTCAGACAGCAATTAACTACAAGTCTTCTGTATGCATTTCAAGATAAATAACAAAGAAACTGGCAGAAAATAAGCCTGGTGCTTAATATTTTATAGATCAACATAAAGAGAATGAATTCCAACTTGAAATCTTGAATAAGTAGACTGAAAAGGATATAAACACAAACAAAAACCATATTTTTAAGGTAGCTGGAATACCAGAATGAAGAGGAAAGGAAAGCAAGAGAAATGGGTGATATGAAGAAGCCCAAAATCTATTAAGAAAATGAAGTCATGTTAGAGATGCTAAACAACACTGAATTTAAAGTTAAGTGCATACTTAATGTTACAGAAAAAATTATCAATGTTACAGAAAAAATCCTCAAAGCCATCACACAGAATATGTTAAGAACAACTTGGAAAAAAACAGAAAAAGAAAACCAGGAGAAAATAATATACAAGATCAAGTGTTCATAAAAAAGAAATAGAAACAAATGAAAAAGAGAAATGAAGAATATATCCATGGGTTAATACAAAGCAAACATGAAACAGAAAAGAAGAGTAGGACAAAGAATTAATGAAAGGACTACTTCAAGAAAATGTGATGACAATTAAAGCACAAGCCTAAAATAATGCAAGCATTCAAACACCATATAGGCATTAATCTTTTTGTTTATAATACACAATGCTAATTTCAAAGAATGAAACATGTCCTGCAATTTTAGGACAAAAAAGTGATGAATTAATATTTAAAATTATCCAAATTAATTATATGTAATAATTAATATGTAAAATTATCCAAATTATCATTCCAGTATCATGAAAATTAGAATTCCCCATTTTCAGCACTGGAAGTTTCAAATATTAAAGAAAATGAAAGAGAATGTGCTGGCTGAAAGTCATTCAAAGTGTAAAGGCACACATTCTGTAGGTAATCACACAGGCGCTCCAACCAAAGAAAGGCAGGTATGCATTTAATGAAAGTGCTTACCATGTTGTCAACTATTTTGAAAATTAAAACTGGGCACTTGTATTCTAAAACAATTCCAGTATATGCTCGAAATAGTTGACTTTTCAAATTAACCAATACAGGCAAAAACAGTGCAAAGACTGAGGATATATTAACAAGAAAAAAAAAAAGAGGATATCAGAATTTTAGTAGGAAGGTACATAACATGCTCAGGGGTTACTCCTGGCTCTGAACTCAGGAATTACTCCTGGCGGTGCTCAGGAGACCATATGGAATGCTGGGAATTGAACCCAGGTCGGCCACGTGCAAGGTAAATGCTTTTCCCGCCGTACTATAGCTCCAGCCCCTAAGACAGTGTATTTTTTAAGATCCCAAATACTGCAAGCTGAGATTATGGATGTTGTTTTATGTTTTCATAAATCTATATCTTTCAAAACCCTTTAGAAACATTTTTAAAAACAAAAAGCATTTGAAAAATATATTCACTCTGATATTGGCTACACAAATATAAATCATAAGTAATTAAAAAGGTAAGCCAGGGGCCAGAGTGATAACACAGCAGGTAGGGCATTTGCCTTGAACGCGGCTGAACCGGGTTCAATCCCTGGCATCCCATGTGGTCCCCTGAGCACTGCCAGGAGTAATTCCTGAGTGCAAACCCCTGAGCATTGCTGGGTATGACCCAAAAAGGAAAATAAATAAATCAATCAATAAAAAAAGAAAGAAAGAAAGAAAAAGGTAAGTCAACATACCAGCCAGAGCATCACAATATATAAAACTGATGGGTTTATGATACATTCAAATTAAAAATTATAAATGAAAGAAAATTAGAACCAAAAACCTTCAGTTATCAAATTTCATTTCTATGTGTAGAAAAACATTTTTTCCTAAGTCAAGATAATAAGAAAGCTGAAACCACAAAAGAGTGATTTTTAAAGCCTCACAGCTGCAAAATTGTAGGAAGATGGTAAATAATGACAAATGTCTTTAACAAGGAAGAATGTTCTCTAAAACATTAGATTGCTTGAGGGAAACATTCATCAGTTTCCACTTTACTGTTGCATTCTGAGCAGTAAATTTGCAAAAAGTTTATAGGCATTTACTGACAACAATTCCCTCAAAAAATCGTCTCTGCCTCCCTTCCTTTGTATCTGGCTGATGGGAGGTATCAGCCAGCGTAAGAGAGAAGGATATGGGGAATTAGCTCACTTGCTTCCAAGATTTAGCTTTCAGTAGTGTCATTATTCTACAAAAATGCAGATGCTGAATAAAAGTTCTCTCTATCATTTTTTACCAGAGAAAGCCAAAAAAAGATGAGACTCACTGTTGTCAGTTTTTCACCACCACTTGGTAGTTCCATTTAAAATTCTTCTACTAAAGATGAAGTCATGAAATTTACATACAAGTGGTACTACATGGAAAGAATCATGCTAAGCGAAATGAGTCAGAAAGAGAGGGACAGACATCAGACATAGAGAGATTACATTCATCTGGGGAATATAAAGTAACAAAATAGGAGACTAACACCCAAGAATAGTTAAGTACCAGGAGGTTTACTCCATGGCTTGGAGGCCAGCCGCACATGCTAGGGGAAAAGGGAGCTCAGATAGAGAAGGGAGCACCAAATAAAGGGTATTGGGAAGATCCTCCCAGGATGGGAGATGCATGCTGAAAGTAGACTATAGACCGAACATGATTGCTACTCAGTGCCTCTTTTGCAAACCACAGCACCCAAAAAGAGAGAGAGAACAAAAGGGAATGCCCTGCCACAGAGGCAGTGTGAGATGGGGGAGTTGGGGGGTGGGAGGGATACTGGGATCAGTGGTGGTGGAGAATGAGCACTGGTGGAGGGATGGGTACTCGATCACTGTGAAACCCAAGCACAAAAATTTGTAAGTCTACAACTATACCTCATGGTGTTTCACTAATAGAACTTAAAAAATAAATAAATAAATAAATAAATAAAAACAAAATTCTTCCACTGAACTTTTTTCAATTAAACTACTTGAGTATATCATTTTATTCTGGTTGAAACCTTGCCTTTTTTAAGAAATGAAGAAAAACGTATTTCTAGAAATCTTTTTAAAAAGAAAATCTATCACCAGTTTCCAAAACATTGATAAAGTAGAAACATATATACTGAGAAAACCAAATATTTAAGTTATAGTTTGAAATTATGGAACAGACAGGTTGTAAACTGTCACTAAGACAAATACCAAGTACAAATGATACCTACTTAAATGTTGGGCTGGAGCAATAGCACAGCGGGTAGGGCATTTGCCTTGCACGCAGCCAACATGGCTGACCCGAGTTCGATTCCTCCGCTCCTCTCGGAGAGCCTGGCAAGCTACTGAGAGTCTCTTGCCCGCACGGCAAAGCCTGGCAAGCTACCCGTGACTTATTCTATATGCCAAACACAGTAACAATTGCCACAATGGAGACGTTACTGGGCAGGCTCGAGCAAATCGATGAACGAGAGGACAGTGACCGTGACAGTGACTTAAATGTTACCTTGGAGTTTGATGGATTCAAAATAATCTGTTATTAAAAGACTGCCTTTTAAAAATGATTTTATTTTCATAACAAATATATGTACTTAATGAAATGGACAGGTATACAAAGTCATTTGGCAGGCCAATGGCTTACCTCTTTGAATTTGTGACTGAGCTTGTTTGTGTCCAGGTCTGATGGAGAAAACATATCCTCATTCTCAGGCAGCTCGAAGACTTCAATAGCTATGTCACTGCCAGGAAGAACAGGGCCTACCTCATCCTCCTCTTCATCTGTGGCATATTCTCCTGTCTGAAAGGAAGGGGATTTCAGAAATCTGGCTGTCTTTACTGTTGGATAAGGTGGTTATTTGAAAATACTTTACAATAGATAAATAAAACATGTCACCAAAGGTAAAAGTGTGAGTAAGTTTAAGTTAAGCAAGCCACATGCAGCCAAAGTTATAAACGCATGTTAGTTTAAAGATCCAAATGGACATGTCTATATCATATATGTGGATTTCTGAAAATCAAATAATATCAGAAGCACCTTAGTATAGTAACAAAAGTTGTTTTCAATCTTAGTATGATTTTGCCATATAAAATTATTGTGCTAAGGGAAATAATAAATGTACTTCAATCCCAACCATCTATGTGAAAAATTATACAATATTGAGAGCACAGAATACAGAGAGGGAGATAAAAAGATTCAGAGCTGGCCTGAGAAATAGTGCAAAGACTTAGATGCTTACACATAGCCAACCCTGGTTGGATTCCCAGCATTGCAGCAGATGGTCTCTCGAACCCTGCCAGGAGTAATCCCTGAGCACAGAGCCAAGAGTAAGCCCTGAGCACAGGTGGGTGTGGATCAAAAAACAGAAATCCAATAAAATAAATAACTTGAAGCAGGCAGTTAGCTAGGGGAGCCCTCTGGTAATGAATTCTTGGGATGCAATAAAACTATAGATTTTGGGGTTGAAAGAAGTTACTCTGTCAACTCTTATGTGGATTACTATTGCCAGGACCCACTTTGGGACACTGAGATTGTGTCTGAGGAATTGAGGTTGATAAGTGGCACAGAGATGGCTTAGGAGAAATCTGTAACATCCTCCCTCCCCTAGATGCTCCAGCAGAAACCAGGGTTGTGATAAGAATATGGAGACAGACTATTAGAGGTTTCAGACCCTTCTCCACAATGCAATAGCAAAGGGCCCTTAATTAGGTAGAAAGTCCCGTGTGGGGGTAATTCGGGGAAAGTATATATAAGTTAACTTGGACAAAAGAACACTCATGTGTTCCCAGGCTCGGCTGCCTGTGCACATGGTGCCCATATGCACATGTTGCCTGCATCTCCTTGAGATGTATACCCTACCTCTCTCTGCATCTGGAGAAGCCTGCATTCTCCCTTGAATGTGTTTCTCTCTCCCATTTTCTCTCCTTCCCTCTCTCCCTGCTCTTCCTTAAATTTTCCAAATAAAATTTTTTAATTTCTTTAGTTGCCTCCTCCTGAAATTCTTTTCTGTTAGGATAAGGCTATGGACCAAAAAAAAAAAAAATCTGGGTAAAATCTAGGTCAGACTTTCCTGAAATATGCATTCCTCGCTCCAACTGGAGTACATGGCTCCTGGAGAAATCTGGTAGCAGGGATCATCTCCCAGGCTAGGCAGAACAAGTGGACTTCAGGTGTAGCTTCACAAGTGCCTCTGGGGGGTGGTGAGATGCGAAGTTTACATTGTCCAGGGACTCATCACAGATTTTTATCAGTCCTAGATTTCCTCAGCTGCCTCACAAAGTGGAAGAAGTGGGTAGAGAGAAAGAGGTAGATTTTCTTCTTGAGGCTACCACTTCTCTCCTCCCCTCTTCACATAAGTGACTCAGGGAAACCCCACTGGCAACAGAAATCAATAAAAGTTTCAGCATGGAAAGGAATGGCAGTCTTAAAAAGTTCGTTGATTAATTTTCCTATGCTTTGGAACTAAATCACTATTTTTGTTGTTTTCTATTGTGGTGGTTCATGGGTGATCTAAAAACAAGTGATCTGAGTCTAAGAAATCATCTGTACAAGGGCACGGTCTGCCTGCACAGTACTTTGACAAGCTGGAGCATTTCTCTTAATCACTTAATCACTTAACTTCCCGTTAGTCGTCGATTTGCTCGAGCGGGCGCCAGTAACGTCTCCATTTGTCCCTGTCGCGTGCTAGTGTAGCCCAATGGCATCTCTTCGCTCCGGGAACATGGAGGGCCTCAAACCGATCGTTCATGACCTTGACAAAGAAGTCTGACCATCTGGTAGGTGGGCGGCCACGCGGTCTCTTGACATCCCGTGGAATCCAATCAGTAACAGCTCTAGTCCAACGGTCGTCTTTAAATCTCATTACGTGACCAGCCCATCTGATTTTTGACACCTTGGCAAATGAGACAGCGTCCCTGATCCTTGATCGTCGACGGATGTCAGAACTCCGGATTCGTTCTCTCATTTGAGTGAAACGTGATATTCCAAGCAGAGCTCTTTCTATTCTTCTTTGGGAGACCTGAATGGCGTTCTCATCTTGTTTGCGTAGGGCCCAGGTCTCTGAGGCATATGTTAATGCAGGAAGAACAGTGGAATCAAAGAGATGTGCCCGGAGCCGGAGGTTCTTCGTCCTCTTAGCTATTTCTCTAATCTTTTAAATACATATTTCACATAAAATTCTAGATTTTTTTCTAAGAAAGCCAAAGATCTGGTACTATATACACAGTATGATTTGATAACATTTGGCCAAAGTTGTGAGTCATTGTTCCTTTAAAATGGACTACACACTTTAAAATACAACAAAACTTCCATAATTTTATTTTATTATATTTCTTGGCTTCATTTCTTCACGATAATCCATATAGCCCTTTAGAATGAACTCTGAAATTAATGTTTCTCCTCATGACTATCTTCCTTTACATTATTAAAAAGAAGCTTCTTTCCTAGCAGCATAAGGCTATAATACTTTAATTCAAAATAATTGTTTGATTCCCAGCATCCCATATGGTCCCTGAGCATCATCAGGAGTAATTCCTGAGTCTGTGAGCCCGGAGTAACCCCTGTGCATCACCAGATGAGACCCCAAAAGCAAATAAATAAATAAATAAATAAATGTTTGAAATATATACCTTATGAAATAAGGATAAACTGCAGGTTCACAGGGGTCGAAAGATAAAGTTCATTTGATTTATCCCTATTTCTTCAAGTATTATTATACCTAACCCATAAAACAGTAATTCATGTTCTAAGCCAATAATTTTTTTTAATAAACAGTGTACTGAATGATCTATTCCTTTGACTAAATGGCTTGGCAGTATCTGATTGCCATTTTACTCTTGGTTCTGTACCATATCCTTCTTACTAAAGGGGAAACTATTTCTTATACTACATTTGGATTTGAGAGAAATCTGGTCTTTAACATTACTGCAGTAATTTTGAATGTCTAAAAGAGTATATTAAATTTCCATTGACTTCCAATTATCAAGTAAAATGATGCTAGGTTTCTCATAGGTACCATTTTCTGTAATTATGTTTGTGCCTGTATTGACTTCTCTATAAGGTTTCTACGTATCTCATAAATTTGGAATCCATTTAAGTAATACAATTTTTAGACAGGAATCTAACGGCCTCTGGCCAAATGAAACAGTTGTTGCAAGACCTCTCTGGGTCAACTTCCCTGAACTAGGCTTTTATTGGAGAGCTTGACTTTGGTGGTATTTCGGTATAGAACCAAATTCAGGGTATTTAGTACAAGATATTCACTTTCCTTGCTGGTTATGTATTAGTCTTTTTTTTTTCTTGGATTTTTGGAGCATACTGGTTGTGCCCAGGGCTTAATTTCTGCTCGGTGCTCTGAGTTTGAGTGTCCATCCTGATGTTTCTCGAAGAATATCTGTGGCGCCAGGGATACAATTAGGACTGGTTCCATGCAAGAAAGCACTTATACCTTGAATTATAAAAAAGCGTATGCCCTGGTACTATCTGTAGGAATACTAAAAGTTACTTTCCCCCCAAATAAAATCAGAGATGATTTGATGAGAGAGAAAGAGGTTGGTTGTCTCTTTCTTGAGCCTGCGGAGCAGTACTGTCAACCTTTACTTAACCAAGGCCCCCTTCCAACTCAGTTTCCTTTCTGTGTCCCTATGTCCTATCAACTAATTCCCTAATCTCCTGCTGTGGCTCCTTAGCACAGCGGTAGGGCATTTGCCTTGCACGCAGCCAACATGGCCAACCCGAGTTCGATTCCTCCGCCCCTCTCAGAGAGCCTGGCAAGCCACTGAGAGTATCTCACCCGTACGGCAGAGCCTGGCAAGCTCCCCGTGACGTATTTGATATGCCAGACACAGTAACAACAAAGTCTCCAATGGAGACGTTACTGGGCCCGCTCGAGCAAATTGATGATCAACGGGAGGGCCTTTACTTTACTTTACTTTACATGCTGTGGCTCCTTATTTCCACAATTTTCATCTGACGTTCCTTAGAATATGCTCAAGGAATATATAAGAAATCCTATAGAAAGGATAGAAAGCCTCAGTACAAGAACTTTCCCTTGAACACTTTGGAAACCAATATGAAAATATGTAAATTATAAACATCATTCCAAGTGTCTGTCTCTAGCAGAAGAGTAGGTGCTAGTTAATTCCTGATAGTTTCCACTCATTGACATAATTAAATGTTACAAATTTTAAAAGGATTATAATTTCATATCTGGTGTGCTCTTGGGTGATATATATTAGAAAAGGTACATGGTAAATCATAATGACATTAATTAAAAATAATGCAGTAAGAGTGGTAAATACACAATTGGAAGGTAATATTGTTGAAAGTTTTGACTTAGAGATAATAAAATTGTGTAGTTGTTTTTAACCCTATAATTACCACTAGCAGCAAAGTCTGCCTATGACTTTATATGCCTGTTTACTAGGGTAAACAGGCATATAAAATTTACCTCTGCATCATCAATTTGATGAATAACTCGCTAAAATATTAAATGTAAAATCAGACATAGTGTGACATATTTTAAACAAAAATGTTGAAACAAACAAGTTAACTTCCCTTTCCAACAGGTACATCTTCACTGTTTATAAGACAATGAATTAAGTTTGTGCTTGGGATGGTGTTGATATATGTAACAAAATCTCAACAAGAAATTTTAGAATAAGCTTAGTAATGGAATAAACTTAGGAATATCCATATCCTGAAATTTTCAATAATATTTGAAAAGTTAATAACAAGATGATTTTATTAAAAAGGCAGTGTCACAATATAAGGCAAAATCTTTCACAATTATTTTTTAACAC